GTCGAACGATAAAGCCATCTCCGCCACTTCGCGACCAGGTAGACAGAACGTACCTTAATAATCCGGGGCAGTGATTATGGGATGGGAGCCGCACACAGACAGCCACGCACACACACACAGACGCGGACACACAAGGACGCGCGCGCACACTCACACGCTCACAGAAAAGGCGTTGGCCGAGAAGAACCGGCTGAAGCAGCAGCAAGACGTGCAAGTGGTACCGAAACACCCGACAAATTGATGCCGTTTTCAGCTGCGTCGCCGCCGCGTCTGTCCATCGGCGTCGATTCTCTCCAAACTAGAACTTTTTCCCAGAAAACCCCCCTCTCTGTCGACTTCATTCAACCTTACGAAGATCTGAACGTAATCACACATACACACACACACATGCTCGCACAGACCGGTTTGAACGACCTTCCCACACGATGCGTAGCTCCTTTTGAACAGTTAGTCTCGTGGAAAACGTCCTGGGAGGGAGTGCGTTTAGTGAGAATAATCAAAAGCGGTACCGGGACGCACCTTTCTTCGATCCATACCCCCCACCCTTAAAAAAAAGAGGCTTATTTTCACTTTCACGAGTGTGTGACGCGTAATCTGTTTATTTTCCTAGCGAGGGAGGGGGGAGGCTACCGGACGCGTGGAAGAGGACTAATAAAGAAATGCCGAAAAGCCGTGCTGGGCGCGTGGGGGGGGGGGGGGGGGGGGCAGCGGGGATCAGCAATAATTATGGTTGCGCAACTCCCGCGCCGTGATACTGTGTGTGAGGGAAAATATTCATCAAAGGAAATAATGACTTTCCGACAACGGTGACGGAAAGCGGCCCCCTTCCCCCTCGGTCGCCCTACATACCTCACCCACTAAGCCCGGTGAGACAAAAAGCTCTGCTACCCCTAAACTTGGACGTTTTGCTCGACTTTGTTCCGGGAGGCCCCTGCCCGGCGGGGTTTTTACCGGGGGAAGTGTTTCTGGGAAGAGCGCTGGCCGTCGTATTACGGTGGCGTGACCACGCGTCGCCGCGTCCCTCCGCGCCGCCCGACCTCCACATTCAAAGCATTCCGGGGCACATCGGGGAATGCCTCTTCCGGCCACCGATGGCGTGCACCGCGCCACCCCGAGGTGCCAAAACACGGCTCTCGCGCTCCAATTTTATTGGTCAAAGTGTGAGCGGCCGGCCCACAGTGGGGCAGAAGGCCTGTGGAGGCGGCCGAAGACGCGTTTTGAGCTCCAGAGTCGCTAAATAGGACTCGAACATAACGTGTGATCCCACCAATGGACTGCTCTCCGAACGAGGAATCCATTGGTGGGGTCACACGTTCGGTTCGAGACCTGTTTAGAGACTCTGGAGCTCAAAACGCGTCTAGGGTTTTGGCCGCGGGGCCCACTGTGGGGCCGTTGCGGTTGGCGGCCGTGGTTGGCCTCTACTCCGCCGACAATGCGCGACAGTGCGCCGCGGCCGTCAAGGTTATCAGTTGGCAGCCCTGCACGGCCTGCACCGCGCGGCACCGCGGCACCCCTTGCGCCCCGAGCGCCCTTTGCGCGTTGGCCTTGCGGCGGGGTTGGCAGCACTGCTGGCGGATGATAGCGCCAGGCGCGCCAACTACACCACGACAAATGAGCCACTCCCTCTATCTCCCTCCATCCGCCGCGGCAGGCCCAGGGCAGGCCCAGGCACGCCGCCCGGTGCCTGTCTTGTCTCACTCTCGCCGCATGTCGGTCCGACCTAGTCCGACCGGCCCTCGCCGCCCCCGCCCGAGTCCGAACGGTGCCGCTCTGTCTCTCTCGCACTCATGGGACGCTGCGTAGACCACTGTGCGTGGAATCGCTCTCTCCCTCTCTCCTCCCAGCCCACAGTAGGTCTGACCCTCGCCGCCTGCCGCTATCTAGGCCTAAGCAAGTTGGAGGCCCTGGAGTTGGAGCTTCACACCACCTGTACTACCCACCCTGGCAGCGCCAGGGGCGGCTCGCTTTCGTCGCTCTGTCTCCCTCGCACTCATGGCGCGGTCCGAGTGGGTGCGAGAGAGACAGAGAGGCCCGAGATGAGGGGCGTTAATAATCTGTTTGGCGAGCGGGGTGTGCCCGCGCCGGCCATGCCGGCCATGCCCTGACGCTGTGACGTCCAGCGGGCCTTCCGTCAGACTACTGACCTCACCGCTCTTGTGTGTGTGTGTGTCTGTGTGTGTGTGTGTGTGTGTGTGTGTGTGTGTGTGTTTTCTACACGTAGGTACTGTTTGGCTCGGCTCGTGATACAGTAAGCTCGGCCGGCGCGGTCGGTCACATCCTGGTCAAAGCCGCCGTCACCAAAAATGCCGTTTGAGTGTTGTGACGCGGTGGGACGCGACGCCATCGGAACGCCCCGCCCCCGGTCGCGCCGTCGCGCCTTTTGTCGTCTGCTGGACGTAACGTCAGACGAACTGTGTGGCACGCGCTCGGACCGGCACTGACGCCACTGACGCAGGAGCGGGGTCGCTGGACGCCTCCCGGAAGTTCCACTCCACTTCGGCGAGGCTGCAGCAGCAGCAGCTGTTCGTTCACCGGCTAGCGTGCCCGTTAGTACACACTAAATGTTTTTTTGAACGAATTTTTGCACGAGACGTTTCAGTTTTTTCTCCGAAACGGACCTTTTCTACGAACTTTTACGCTATGTTGCGCCAAAAATGGGGGAAAATAATGCCGGTTTTCGTATGAAAATCGTGCGAATAGTTCACCTGTACAAAACATAACATTTGGTTGGCGAAAAGTGCTACTTTGTGCTCTTAGGCCGGCTCGTACGAGCACCGCACACAACGAGCGAGGCGGCTTTGATGTCGGATGGATTCCTGCCAGAGGCATTTCATTCACTTGCTTCGCTCCACTCTCAATACCTTGGCAGCGCGCCACCCTAAGTACACAATCTGCTTTCTGTCTCCTTTTTTTTTTGTTTCCGCGGACGCCGTGCCCTTGGCTCTCTTTTCGCGTTGAACCTGACCTCGGACTGGAAAACACACACACACACACACACACACTGCACGTGTGGGGCACCGCAGTGAGGCGTTTACAGCGTCGCGGGCAGCAGGGCCAGGCAGGGCGGACTCCCAGTGGGCCAGTCTCCCTTCCTCAAGGAGGCTGTGCGGTCCGCAGGTCCTTGCCGTCGTCCTGGCTCGTCCTGGCTCGTCCTGGCTCGTCCTGACCACTACACCGGAGGCAGTTAGAGGGAAGCACCTCCACGTGAGGGGCTGTTGCAAACGGTGCGCGCGCACACACACTCACGCACACCCGTGCAAGCCGCAGACAGGCAAAGACGCACACACACGTAGACAGACACACACACAGGCACACGCGCTGTAACGGCTCCTCGTGGATTTGACAGTGCAGCTGGTCTGTCCACGCGGGGACAATGTAAGAAGTGACGTGACTAGCTTACAGGGGGAGCGTCCTGGAATACATGCACCATCTGCCCTGGATGTGGAACCTGCCTCTGTGTGCCGCCTAGTATCAATCGCACTCGGGCGCCTCCGCTTCCCCTGCAGGGCGCTTCCGAACAGTCGCTCTGTCTCTCTCGCACCCGTCCGAGACGCCCTACGAGTGCGAGAGAGACAGAGCGATGGCTCGGACCCAGCCGGCCGGCGCCCCGACCCACTGCACACTGCACCACCTGCTGCCGCCCGCACGCCGAAGGGCCTGTCTCTGTCTCTCTCGCACCCTTCCGGGGCGCCCCATGAGTGCGAGAGAGACGGAGCGAGGAAGCGGTCTCGCGGAAACGGCCGGCTGGTCCCGCGCTCCGCCCCGCCAGCTCACATGCAGCAGACCATCCGGAGGCACTCCGCAAACACCCCCAGCCTGGCTCCGAAGGGTCACCGCTCCGTCTCTCTCGCACTCACGGGGCGCCGCGATGGAGTGCGAGAGAGACGGAGCGTCGAAAGAACCCTTCCTGGGGGCGAAAACGACGGGCCTTGAAACAAACGCGAAGAATGAAGACATTGCCATTCTGGAAGGCGTCGTGGCTACCCCTTGAGAGAGCTCTTGCAAGTCCCTCGCGCGCGGGGTAGCGACGACTGGACGGCACTGGGTCGCTCATGTCTGTTCGCTGCACCCCTTCGCTCGTCCAATCTGCGGGCACTTCACTGGTCTGGTCCGGCCATGCCTGTTTCCCTGGAGACCTCAGATCGCGACCAGAGCTACGCCACGCCACGGCTGGAGCAGCGGCAGACTGATTCCGAGAGTCGCTTTCGTCGCTCTGTCTCTCTCGCGCTCGAGGCGTCCCGTATAGAGCGACGAAAAGGACTCTAGTCCGCAGGGTGCGCCACGCTGCACGAGGCGAACGTCTCTGCAGGAATCGCCCGGGGAGAATCCAATAAGCGCCCCCTCCCCCCCTCGCATTGAGGCACCATCTTTCGCCAAAGTGACCGAGTCCGCCCGCAGCAACGCCGAGGCGGAAAAACAAGAAATATAATTTTCTTATCCGGGAGCGGATTGGCCGCGTCGGCATCGTCTATTCCACTTCGCCCGGGGCTCAAACTGGCGTCAGTTCGTGGGCCGTTGTCCAGCTGGGTTTTGGTTGGCCCGCGTTCGTCCGCGGGGTCATCATTCCGGTATTTCCCGGGCGGTCCGCTCCGCGCTTACGGCCGGCCCCCGGGCTGCGGCGTGTCAGCGCGGGGGGCCGCGAGAGAGCGACGACAGTAATGACGCCGTAATGGCGGTGCGGGTGTCGCCGCGTGTGTCGCGGATGAGTCACTTGTCCGTCTCGCGGCAAAAAGTTATTAACAACTTAATCGTGGGAGCCGCCACCGCCGCGCGATTGCGACGAGGCGAGTCAAGTCCGCAGGAGAGGCGGGAGGCACGCCCGCTGAACGGTGTCGCTGTTCTCGGTTCAAGCGGACCGCCAAGACCGCCAGCGGCGATACTCCCTGCTGCCCGTGCGGCGAGGCCCCGCGGCGTGGAGTAGCGACGGCGGGGGAGGCGCGGCGGGAGTATCGCCGAAATATAAGATGCTACCAGCGAGTTGAATAAAACTGAATACACTGTTTTACTACATACTACTGTTTAATATCCATGTTCATTTCTTCGGAGTGAACGACACCCATAATATTAGAGAGAACACAAGGAATTGAGCAGGGTGGTCCATTCCTTACAACCCAACAGATGTTTTTCATATTTGGTTTATGATTTTGGTCGATACAACTAACATCTAATAATCCAGAACTTATGAGACCTAAATAACAATGGGAATAAAAAAGTTTCTGTAACAGACAAGAATATGTCAGAATAACAACTAACAAGGAACCCTGTATAACAGCATAGCATTCATTCCAGGAATGATTTTTTTGTTGTAAGTAATAATACCTACTCTAAGACACTTTGGTATTATGCAACACACAATTGACATGGAACCAAATGGAAGTACAATTTTGCAAGAATACCTCATGCAATAACCACATTAGCGTTTGAAATTTATCACATTTAGATGGAAAACGATTACATATTGATCCAGATGATGAGACTTTAAATTTTACTCATAAGAATGAGGCATCATCATTTCACAAAGTTTTGTAGGCAAAAGACCCAACACTTATAAATAATTTTAAAAAAGGACGGATTGATAACTCATCGTGTGATACCACATTCTTTCCTGGCACAGGATTATTCAAACAGATAACAAATCTTAAACATTATCTTTAGACAGAAACAGGAAACAAAAACAATACAAAAATAAAACATTCATGAAACTTGCTCTTAACACATATGAAAGCAAAATAATCTCTTAACTCACAGAGTTAGGCTTTAAGGTTGTCCTCCAGCTTTAAAGCTGTCTACATGGAAAAATAAAAAAATAGGAACTTAAGCTTAATAATACTGGTCAATTATTAAAATAATTTAAAATAAATTCAAGGAACCAAGTTTAAAGAGGCCAACTGGATCTCCTAATGGATTGAGAAGATTAAGATTTAGTGGAATCTCTTCAAAGAGATTTAGGAAGTTTTGAGAGAACTACCGTAGTTATGGAAAGTTATCAGAATATATGAAGTGAAGGTTAAGTGACTTTGCACAAGAAATTTTAAAAAATGGAAGCAAGCAAATTAAGTTAAATTGGGAGTACGCAAAATGATAAGCTAGATTTTCAAGCATCACGGTAGCTGGTCTTAATTGTGGAGGAAAATGGTGATTAGGAACACTTCCAAACACAAATAGCCAGATTCCCACCAAAGTACATGTACATGAGATGTTTGACTTCATATGAAATTTCAAAGCCGTAACCTTCTCCAACAACGGCATGCCAAGAGGGACCAAACTTCTTGTCCATGTTTTCTTTGATCATTCTTGCAGCCGACTGGAAAAAAAATAAAAATCAGAAAGTTATTTAAGTTTAGGAAAAAATCATAATTATTAATTGCAAGCTCAAACATGGTTGACTTTGTGATCTTCCATAAGCATTTGGACGTTGTTACAATGATTAAACCTCATAGTGAAAGTTAGCACTTACTTCATTGTTTGTTGAGTGCTTCTCGCAGGCATTGGCACTGAGGTCCATCGCTTCAGTCCGCATTTCATCCACCATATCACAGTACTGTTTGCAATAAAAAGGGAAAACCCAAGATAAGTCATAGTTATGAAAGATTTAAAGCACTCGTTGATTCAAGGTTGCGACATAGAGTTAAAATACAGATTTATCGGAAAAGTGGTGAAAGGAGAATCAAGGATAAGAATGCAATCAGGACTAAACGTATCAATAACAAGCAATAGAAGAAATTCCCAACCACATAATGTGTGGGGAAATCAAGTACAAGAGATTGCGAAAGAAAGTTAGAAAGGACAGGATTGTACTACATACCCGAACAAGGGCATACGTATGTAACACTTTCTTCTCTCCCTCTTCCTTTTTGGGTTCATTCTGTGCATCTCCCATTGTATTCACGTAACTAAAATTGCCTAAAGAGATCAAACTGACTCAAAGAAATTTGGCTCAGTGGAACATGCAGATTTAGATTTCTTCTGCTAGTGCCCTTGTATTGTTGACCAGTCAAGCCACACAATGTCGACAAATAGTTCCACAAAGAACAAGTTTTTCAGAACTAAAAGTGGATAAAAATGTTTCATTTTTCTTTTAAATGAAGTGAATTAATACTTTTACAGCTATTTTTCAGTCAGCGCTTGCTTTAGCGAAGCGAAACTGCACATCGTTTGTCTGTGGCTGGCAACCCTGGCCGATGCTCAGCTGTCCTCTAGCAGACAAACAATCGGTCGGGCAGTGTTTTGAATAATTTTTGAAAACTAGTTGACGTAGTGAGTTTCTTCAAAATGACTGAGGTTTTGCGTGACAACTTTGAAACTTTGTTCCCCAAAATTGAGAAAGATCTCAAGCAGGCGGCTGTTATATCAATCGATACTGAGTTTAGTGGACTGCTTTCTAGCGATGACTTCAAATCGAGGTACGTAGAGGTTATAATCTGTCATGAAAGTTTCATTTTATTGATGCTCATTGTCATTATTAATTGTTGCTTTTCCCTTTCAGCCTTTTTGATTCTGCGCAAGAACGTTACTTGAAACAAAGAGAGAATATTTCAGATGTTTTGCTTCTGCAGTTTGGCCTAACAGCATTTACCTTTGATCGAGAGAGAAACTCTTATTCAAGTCATTCTTACAGTTTTTATCTATTCCCACGAACTTTCGGATCTATTGATGTCCGGTTTAAGTGTCAGGCATCATCATTTGAGTTTCTCTGTCACCACAAATTCGACTTCAACAAGGTAATGTTTATTTTCTCTATCATTTGCCGTTGAACTGATTTGTCTTGTTACCTTTGAGTTTTACTTGTTTTCAGTTTGTCTACAATGGTATTTCTTTTCTCAACGAGGAACAAGATTTGAAAGTGCAACAAGAACTTCAAGAAGGCCATCTATTTAGATCAGTAGAAAGAGCACTTTCATTTGAAGATGAGGATTCCGTCCAAGCATTATGCTCCCAAGTTGCAATTTGGCTCGCTGGTGGGCAACCTGCCGAAGAAGCAACGGCAAAATCGATGGTCTTAGATGTGCCAAAAAGCTCTCAAACTAGTCAATGCATTGCTTATGTTGTTCACCACGAATTACGCAGAAGATTCATTTCAGTGTGGACTATACCTGAAAATGGAAATGTATGATACCTTTTGGTTGTCATTTTTAAAATGAATACATTTCATGTCTTACTGGTAAACAATTGTGTGCCACAGGTGCGAGTCCTCAAGGTATCTGCAACAGAAAGAGCAATGCTGGAATCAAGTGACACCCATGAAGCAGAATTAAAAACTGCACTCCTGCAATCATTGAGGGGTTTCTCTCGTGTTTTCAAACTACTTGTTGATATGAAGAAACCCATTATTGCGCATAATTGCACTCTTGATCTCATGATTATGTTTAAGCAATTTTGCAGACCCTTGCCAAGTAAGTGTATTGAAGTTAAAATAGTGTTAGTTATTGTTTTGTTTCTTTCAAATAGTTATGTTTTTGTCTTTGTTCTCCAAAAGGCTCATACCAATCATTCAAGGACTCAATTCATAGTCTTTTTCCAATTGTATATGATACGAAGTACATGAGCTCTGAATTCAAAAGAAAAGTGTCCAAGTTTGGTAAGTACTAAGAGGTGCTTTTTTTTTCATGTTCAATGATTCAGATTTGTTTTAATGTGTATTATCTGTTTCCTTTGTGCAGATTGTTGGACCAGTAACACCTTAGAGCCACTTTACAAGTACTTCGCCATGGGAAAAGGTTTTACTATGGTGCCATGTTCTCCCATTATAGATTCACACGATTACACTCTTGGTACACAAAATTGTTTTGTACTTCTGACAAAAGTTTATTTTTCATATTTATTTTAATTCTCAATACAACAATGTGGTGTTTTATTACAGGCTGTGATCCTCGGTTCCATGATGCCGCCTGGGATTCATACTGTGCTGGTGTCTGCTTTATTCGAATGGCACATTTTTTTAGTGCTCTTGATTTAGGACGGTGAGTAGTTCATTTTTGTGATTCATGTCTGTACAATTTTCTAACTCACACTAATTTCATCCAATAATGATTTCTGACAGTTTGAGTTTAGCCAAGCCTTTCACAAGCACAGAACTTGTGGCCCTAACTGATTTCCTTGCAAATCATATCAATATTATTCGAGGGAACCTGACCCATTTTGTAAGTTATCTGTTTTAATATGTGAAAAGTTTTTTTTTTCCTCAGATAAAATTTTATATTTTTATTGTTCTTGTAGGTCTTGGGTGGGCCAGATCCTCCCTCTCACAGGCCAGAAGTTATTGTTGTGAAAAAGAGAGATGGAGGCAGACTGGATCTTGTTCAGGCAAGTTAATTTAATCATTTATTCGTCCTATCCTTTTGGCATAGGCACAATGCATTATAGTTATTATTATAATTATTTTTTCTCTTTGCAGTTGACAGAGAGGTTCTCAAAACACGGTTCTGTTGATGTGAAACTAACGAGTGAAAAAATTGCATTAGTTGCTGCTAGCAGCAAAGGAATGTAAGTATATGTCCACATCTGGCCTCTAAGAAGAACAGTTGGTTGGAAATGGTGTGTCTCATGATTTCAACTCTATTTTCAGGGTAATGGATATCTGCAGAGACTTTTACAAAGACTCAGACTATATTGTTGTAAAATACAACAAGATACATCATAACCCTGTGATTCGGACTGCTTCATGGTATTTATTTGAACTTGAACTATTTTTACTGCCTCTCAAGAAAGATACTCATTACTTTAATTTTCAGGTGTACTCTTGCATTGTCATTTGCTCTATCTGGTTTCTTCTTGTACCGTGCATTTTCAAGAGCTAGGTAAAATCCCACGATTTTCTACTTATTCTCACAACCGAACAAAACAAATTGGAAAGCTGCCCTGCCATGTACCTGCCATTTGTCATCGATACCTGCCATTAACTTTTGGATTTGCATCATAAACTGTCCATATTCCTGCTCTGGTGATAATTTGGAGTGTGAAAAATGAAATGTACCTTCATTATACATTTAATGTAAAACATTGAAACTATTGAAAGTAGTATTTTAACTAGTCTTTTATACCTGTTTAGACTTTTTTCCAACGGACAGATTGTTTAGCAACAATCTTCTTTCAATTCCTCATCATTTTTAAAAAAAATCATTTTGATGTTTTCTTTTTCTTTTATTCTGCTTTGTGTTAAGTGCAGCACCTTTTGTGCTAAAAAAACAATCAGTGACCTCATGTTTTATGAAATGTTGTACTACCAAGGTGCTTAATTGAAGACCTTATCCTTTTTTATGAAAACCATGTGTATCGAACAATAAATATCTTGAACCGAAAAACATTTTACCTTAGTCTCCCTAAAGACTTCGGACAACACGGCAAAGCAGCAGAAGAGAGGAGGTATTGGTTTTCTCCCTCTCTCTGTCTCTCTCAGAGGCCCGGCCTCCCGACCGGAGCGCCCGCGAACAGGGAGATACCGACCCGCCGAACACGGATGCTCCCACACTGCCTACCTCCCAGGCGCCTCCAGGGGACCATTACCATTACGGGCTAGACCACATATGATCGTATGCCGTTTCAGGGGACCACCTCGCGGAACATGGCGGCTTGAGAGCGGAGGGGGAAGGTCACACACTGCAAATTCCTTTCTGAATTTTTTTTTTGCACGCGGCCTCAAGGAGCCGGGGGCACCCTCAGCCACCGCGTGGCTCGGGCCGCTCAGGCCGTGGGCGGCTGGGGCTGGGCGGTCGCAAGGAGATACGGATCTGCACAGCTGCATTGGCGTCGGTCCGTGCGCCCGTCTGTCTGTCTGTCCGTCCGTCCGCGACTTTCTTTTAAAACCGCGGCAATGAAGCCACTTTCGCGCGCGGGCATGGACAGTTTCCAGATAAATATGCGAGAGTGATGTCGTCCGGCTGCGGAGCGCAACGCCCCCGAAATTGCCGCCAACATTGGATTCCGTGTTTTACGGAAAAGCAGAAAAATGTGGCGTCTCCACACACACACACACACGCAAATGATGCGGACGGGGCGCGCCGGGGCGCGCGAACCCCCCCCCCCCCCTTTTTTTCCCCTCCGCAAACCGTGCAGCCTTGCGGACCACAAGGCCGAGCGCGCCTTTGTGCCCGCTGCGGAGAGAGGAGGGGAGGGGGTTGGCGAAGTGTTACCACCTCCTTTTTACGACCGCGCAACAGATTACACGCCTCAGGACTTCGGGGCGCAGTCACGGCAGTCACGGCCGCGACCGAGAAGGACGCCCCGCGCCGCCCCGCGCGCACGCGTGACAGAGGAGCAGTGTGCTTTCTCGCTCTGTCTCCCTCGCACCTCGGCCAGAAGGCCAGACGCGCCCTGAGTGCGAGAGAGAGAGGAACACCGTTAGTCGGAATCAGTCTGCGGTCACGCAAGGCACGCCAAGGCGACGGGGGCAGTACACTGGTCCACCGCCGGAAGGGCAGGGGTGGGCGAAATGCCTCGACTTTTTTCCCCTTGGTGATCCATCTAAAGCGGTGACACTGTGAATCCATTAATTAGCAAAGCCCCTGGTCGGATGATGGAGGCGGTGATGGCAAAACCTTTCCCGTGGCCAGCAGCAGAAGCTCAGGTTGCCTGCCTGAGGGGGACGATTTCCAAGAATCTCGCTCTGTTCCTCTCACGGACGACGGGGCACCCTACTCCAGACCGCGTCCCCAGGGCACGCGGCCAGCGGACCCGCCGTGCGTTGAGGTCACCCCGTGGGAGGCGATGGCCCCGACGCTTGCCTCATAAGGGTGGACCAGCCCACGGTGTACTAGTATCGAAAGGTAGCCAGCAGCCTGCCCACTACTCTCAAAGCTCAGCACGTACAGCAGGAGTGGTGGCGAGTTCAGTTCGGAAGACATGTTGGTGTGTTAGGAAAAGGGGCGACTTTATTCGTTTTTCGCGAGACGTCTTTACAACGCCGAAACGAGTGTTCCGAACGGGCCCCGCCACCACTCCACTGTCACGCCGCCGCCCTTTGCCAAATTTTGCGGTGCCCTTGCTTCAAAAGAAGGAGAAGGAGGAGAGTTGGCTTCCCTTATTGACTCTGCAGCGCGGCGGCATGGCAGTGGCGTGGCGGTGGCTGCGGCCGAGCGCGAACCTTGACTCGTGCGCCCCTGGCGGCGCGGCACGGCGCGGCACGGCACTGCGATGAGGCACCGCACTAAATTGTGGTAGGCGTTCGCTGGGCGGGCCAAGAATGCCGCGGGCAACGACGATCCCATGCCAGCGGCGGCAGCGGCGGCACTGCCAGTGTGCCCGCTCCGAAGGGCGCGTCGCTCCGTCTCCCTCGCACTCGCCGAGCGTCTGGCGGGGGTGCGAGAGAGACAGCGCCGCGAGAGCAGTGTGCCGTTCAGACGGGCTGCAGCGCGCCGGGCCGTGCTGTGCCGGGCCGGCCGGGCCGCCGGGCGCGCTTGCCAAAAGGCGGCCCGTGCGAAGGCGAAGCAGTGCGGAGCAGTGCGAAGCCCGGTGGACTCACTCCCTCGCACCTGTGCGGGCCGCCGAGTGGGTGCGAGAGAGACAGAGCAAGCGACGGAGAGAGGATCGAGCCGTACGCGGCTACGCCGGGCTACGCGGCAACGCCATGCCGCTCGCGGACAACAAAACCATCCGCGGGGTCCGCCGCCTGCCGCCCGCCTCGCGCGCTTGCGAAGCGAAGCGGCGCGAAAGCTAGCCCGGCAGGAATAGCATTTTCGCACAGATGATTGAAGATGGTATACATTTTGTATTTTGACAGGTGGCACGCCGCGGCCCCGGCCGGGCTGATTTGTGTGACGGCTGTGGGAACAGTGTGCGAGAAAAAGCCCCCCACCCCACCCCCTCTCCACGTTTCTAGCCACGCGAAGGGGGCGGGGGGTGGCGGGGAAGTGCAGTCGTTGATTGAGGTCTCACATCTGAGTCTGTTCCTTGTGTGTCTGAGACAACACGGGGGGTGCTGAGACCGCCAGGAGCAAAAGAATTAAAGAGGGGCGGGGGCCGCACGTTCGTGTGTGAGTGCCTCCCTCTCCCTCCCTTTATCCATGTATTGCCTAATCTCCGCTCTATACTTAGGCCGAGGCGAGGCGCCGTTGAACAAAGGGGATATAAATTGAAAGCGATGAGGCCGCGGCGGTCCGAGGCGGTCCGAGGCGGTCCCAGGCCGGCCGAGGTGCAGGCAGGGCATGTCGCCGTCCTTGTCTGGCCCGTGGGAAAGGGGCGGGTCGACGAGGATGCAGTGAGTCCGCGAGCCAAGGGGAGGCAGCGCGCCACAGTGTGCGCACCTGGCCGGCGCTGTCTCCGAAGTGCTCAGACTGGGTCAGTGGATCGCGCTCCTGGGCCCCTCGCCTCCCCGACGTTCGAACGTGTACGTCCGCGGCTTTTAAAAGTGTGTGGACGCGTGGTGTGGTGCTGCGGCTCCCCGACGCGCGCTTTTTTAAAATCCATCACACGGCCTCGTGCCTGCGGCCCATTCCGAGCAGCGCTGCCGTCGCTCTGTCTCTCTCGCACTCACGGGGCGCCCCGTACGGGTGCGAGAGAGACAGGGCGACGAAGCTCCGTTCGGAATGAGGCCAGTGGCCGCACAGACCCGCCATGTCAGCGCCAACTCCTGCTGAGCGGCTCGGCGGGAACATCTGTTTATCTGCGAACAATGACGTTGAAACGACATGGAATCTACGCCGCGCACAGTGTGGCCTCTGTTTAGCCAGCCACCTTCACTACCAGTGCACGCGTACTGGATAGAAACCTGTCACCGTCAGCATTTTCTATAGAAAACTCCAGGAAATTAATCGGCGAAAGGAAGTTACTGTGTACTGTAAAATATAGGGTGGGGGAAATTATCATTGGGACTTGTCCATCAGACATTCTATGCGGACCAACCCCAAGCCCATAACCCCAACCCCAACCCCAACCCCAACCCCAACCCCAACCCCAACCCCAGCCCCAACCCCAACCCCAACCCCAGCCCCAACCCCAACCCCAACCCTAACCCCAACCCCAACCCCAACCCCAACACGTGGGCACGCCCTGGCGGGAGCGGCGCTGCGAAGGTTGGAGCTTTTCATCCCGAGATCATGTCGGAAGCCGGTAGACAGGCGGGCAGCCCGGCTGGCAGGTAGGCGGCCAGGCAGGCTGGCAGGCAGCCGCACTCTGGCGTGGCGTGGCGTGGCGTGGCGTGGCGTGGCGTGCTAGCGCTATGCCGCTGTGAGCTCGCTAAGTTTAGCGTCTGGCGCTCTGGCCGGCCGTCCCGCCGTCCCGCCCTGCAGACGGGCCGCCCAACGGGCCGTCCAACGGGCCGCGCTGGTCCAACCTGTCGCCCTGCCAAGCCACGGCCACGCCGCGCCCTGCTCCTTCCAGCCCCTCTCCATCTCCCTCGCACTCACGGGGCGCCCCGTGCGGGTGCGAGAGAGACAGACCGATGGGCGCACGGCGCGGTCCTCGCCGACTGCCCCACCCGGGCCCGCCGCCGGCCGTCGCAGCGCTCAACTCACTCCACGCAGAGCGTTCGAGCCGCCTGTGGTCTAGCCCTTAATGGTAGTGGTAATGGAGGGTGGGCCTGCCCGTCGAGCTGCCCTGCGCGGCGGGCCGGCCTACCGTCACGGCGCTACAGCCGCGTGCAGCCGCCGCGCCGGCACGCCGTGTTCCAGCGCCTCGCCTGGAGAGGGGTGACAACGCGGGACGCTCCCCCGGGGAGAAGAAGACACTCGCCACCCTGCCGAAGAGAGTTTCTCCACTGCAAGTGACTAAAAGCTCTCCGGCAGCCAGGCACGCACTCTCAGAGGCAGCCAGACAGACAGATGGAGAGGCGGGCAGACAGGCGCTTCGCTGCTTCGCGGTTCGTTCCGCGTGTGTTCGCCGCGCACCCTTGAGACGCCAACGCGGCCAACGCCGAACACGACGCCGTCGCCAGCAGGTGGCGAGCCGAGCCGCGCCGAGCCGAGCCGAAGGGTTTGACGGGAGCGTGGTGGTGACGTCAACGGCAGCCTCGTACTCGGGGCGGCTCGGCTCGGCGGCCGGCCCAAGGTACTGCAAGGCACTGCCCCTGACGGCCGGGCCGACGCGGTCCTCGACGCGGGGCGCTGTCCAGCCCGCGCGGTGCGCTACACTGTGCACGCTGCGCCACTACACGGTAAACAGAGCGCCGCCCACTCGGCCGGCAACGCAAACAGACTGCCGCGGGCAAACGTCGCCATCCTGCGCGAAATGCACGCCGACGTCCGCCGTCCAACAAACACACCTTGGCGACGTTCCGTACTTCAAATTACACAAACCCATTCCGTCCGCCTTCCCCCGCGGTGCTCCGTCGAGGGAGACGCGTGGCACGCCGCGTGGGGGTGCGAGAGAG